ATATGTTGTTTCATGAAATTCTTCTGTGTCTGCCAATTTCTTTTGATACAGTGACTCAGTATATTCTTTCCATCTTCTTTTAATACTTCCTGGATCATTTAATATTCTGCCTAAAGCATCCTTGATTACAGCAACTCAATGTCTGAATTTGTTCTTCAGTTCCTTGAGCTTAAAAAATGCTTAGCAAGTTCGGCCTTTTTGATTTTCTGTCTCCAACTCATTGCACATTTTATTGTAATATTTTACTTTGTTATCCTGCGCTACCTTTTGAAATCTTCTATTCAACTCTAGCATTCTATAAAATCGTGATGTGTTCATTACAAATACCTTTTCATTGAAAAAGTTCAATATCAGTCAAACCAGGTGCTGATTGTGGAAAAGAACATCAACTACTCATATTCAAGTTAAAACTGAAGATAAAGATGGTCAAATCAAATCTATAGGAATCAAAATTTCATCTTGAATCTATCCCACCTGAATTTAAAAAGCAAGTCAGGAATAGGTTTGAGACCTTGAACACTAATGAATGAAGACCAGACGAGCTATGAGAAGATATCAAGAATATCATTTATGAAGAATGCAAAAGGTCATTACAAAGACAGAGGTAGAAGACCAAAATGGATGTCAGAAACAACTCTGAATATTGCACTAGAGTGCCGAGAAGCCAAAGCAAAAGAAGAAATAAAGAAGTTAAGGAACTGAATAGATTTCAAAGGGCAGCTCAGGAAGACAAAGCAAAGTGTTATAATGAAATATACAAGGAGCTGGATTCAGAAAATAAGTGGGCTGAACTCGCTCAGCATTTCTTAAGCCAAAAGAACAAAAGAACAAATTCAAGGCATGAGTTGCAATACTTAAGGATGCTTTGGACAGAAAATTGAATGATCCAGAAAACATTAAAAGAAGATGAAAGGAGTACACTGAGTCACTGTACCAAAAAGAATTGGTTGACATCGAAAAATTCATGAAACAACACAAAATCAAGAGGGAATGGTGGCTGCAATCTCGAAGGTGCATGGTTTGAATCCAACAGATGCTTCACTGGAGAAGGAGGGGAAATCTCCTCCTGTGCAAGTTGGATCTGATTTGATGGTGCGCGTGTGCACACACACACACACACACACACAAGATGCAATGGTGATGGAGAAGAAAGTTCAGGCTGCTCTGAAGGACTTGGAAAAAAAAAAACAAATCCCAAGGAATTGATGGAATACCAATTGACATATTTCAACTAACAGATCCTGTCCTAGATGTGCTCACCAATTTGTGCCAAGAAATCTAAAGAATAATTACCTGGCCAACTTACTGGAAGAGATCCATATTTATTCCAATTCCAAAAAAAAGGTGACCCAATAGAGTGTGTAAATTGTTGAACAGCATCACTAATATCACACAGTAGCAAAATCTTGCTGAAGATTATCCAGAAACAACTGGAACAGTCAATCAACAGAGAAGAACCAAAAATACAAGCTGGGTTTAGAAGAGGTCAAGGCATTAGAGACATTATTGCCAATGTCACATGAATCTTGGCAGAAAGCAAAGAGTACCAGAGGGATGTGTATCTGTGTTTTATAACTATGCAAAGGCATCTGACTGTGTTAATTACAACAAATTGTGGCTAACCTTGAGGAGAATAGAACACTTGATTGTGCTTATACGAAGCCTTGAGGAGAATAGAACACTTGATTGTGCGTATACGAAGCCTTGAGGAGAATAGAACACTTGATTGTGCTTATGTGAAACCTATACTTGAACCAGGGAGCAGTCCTCAGAACAGAGCAGGGAAACACTGCATAGTTCAAAATCAGGAA